AGGTAGCTCCGCAGAAAAAGATATTCAATAACTCGGAAGGGAATCTATCGCTCATGCGGCGACGAAATCACCGAGCATTGTGGGAGATCTGGCTAAATTGAGCACAGGGAAGCATTTTTCGTCTGGCAGGATCGCCCTTCGATACTTTCGGAGTGACGTTCGCCGGGGTTCAGGGCAGGTTCAGGTTTTTCGAACTGAGTTCCGAGCGAGGAAGAACTCGGGGACCGCTACTCGAGGAAAAATCGATGCCCATCCCGAGTAGGTGGACCGAGAAAAATTCACGGGTGTCTTGACGCAGAAGAACCGGAAGGCCCAAGTTACGCCTGACGGAAAAGCGCTCGGGAAGTGGCAGATCCTCATAAGACGCGAAGTGGGATTACCGCGAATCCTAATTGGAAGCCGTACCGACATTCGAGAGAGACACATCGAAGCTGGATCGGGCGTTCGAGCCTCATGAAATTTGCATTGTTCTAAGAGCTTTTGTTCTCACGGTCCCGCCCCGACCCCGACATTCAGGCAGGGGGAAGGCAGGCAAGTAAGGCAATCCAGCCTGTACAGATGATTTCGCTGCTGCTGTTTGTGCTCCGGTTCTCTTGATGGATTTATGACTTTTCTTCCGCTTCTGGGTTGTTGTGTCCTCTTCTTCACCAGTCAGTTCCACTTCACCAGGCCAACACCCTCGCTGAGGTTTTTGCAGAAAACTCTAAACTTGATCCCGGCAACCAAATCCCGCCCCCTCCTTCAGGCGCCCCTCCCTCCATGCCCCAAATATCGTTCCACCAGTCCTCGATCCGTAAAATCCTCGGCACCCTTGATGTCTCCAAGGCCCCAGGCCCTGATGGTATCCCAGCGATAGTTCTCAAAAAATGCGCCCCAGAACTCACTCCTGTACTCTGTAGACTTTTCTCTCTCTCATTCGATTCAGGCGTATTCCCCGTTTGCTGGAAGCTTGCCCTCGTTCAACCTATCCCCAAAAAAGGCGACAAATCTTCGCCCTCTAATTATCGTCCCATTTCACTCGTCTCCATCCTATCCAAGGTTATGGAAAAAGCCGTAAACTCCCAGCTCCTCTCCCATCTCGAACAGTCCTCCCTCATTAGTGATCGGCAGTATGGCTTCCGAAAGGGTCGCTCCACTGGCGATCTTCTGCTCTACACAACCCATCTTTGGAACTCTGCTATTGAAAAACATGGCGAGACCCTTGCTGTTGCTCTGGACATTTCCAAGGCATTCGACAGGGTTTGGCATGCCGCTCTCCTCAATAAGCTCCCTTCCTTCGGTCTCCAACCAAATCTCTGCAACTGGATTTCAAGCTTCCTTAGTCAACGTTCTATTAAGGTTATGGCCGACGGCGCCCTCTCAAAATCATTCCCAATCAACGCAGGTGTACCCCAGGGCTCTGTACTCTCTCCAACTCTCTTCCTGTTGCACATCAATGATCTTCTCGCCTCCACCACAAATCCCATACACAGCTTCGCCGACGATAGTACACTCCATGCTGGTCACTCTTTCACGAAGCAGCCGACCTCTACTCAAACAAATTCCTCTAGAAACACCTTGCTCTCCTCCATCGATTGCGATCTCCAGAAGATTCTGCAATGGGGCTCAACTAATTTGGTCCGGTTCAATTCCCTGAAGACGCAGCTTACCCTTTTCACGAAGAAACCGAGCCTTTTAGTCCTACCATCTCTTTTGACAACGAAACGCTACTTCCTTCATCGAATATCTCTATTTTAGGCGTGTGCCTTTCATCAAACCTTAAATGGCACCATCACATAGCTAACATGGCCAAGTCAGCTTCCCAGAAACTAGGATTCCTCTTCAGAGCCAAACGTTATTTTTCTCCATCTCACCTTCTTTTGCTCTATAAAACCCAAATCCGTCCCTCTCTTGAGTACTGCTCGCATATCTGGGGTGAAGCCGCTCCTTCATCCCTCTCTATCCTGGACTCTATTCAGAAACGTGCTATCCGTCTCATCGGTGATTCAGCCATATCCTCTTCTCTTGAATCTTTATCCTCACGTCGTAACGTTACCGACCTCTGCCTATTTTATCGATACTTCCATGGAGAATGCTCAGATGAAATCTCTTCCCTCGTTCCCCCTATTTCGGTCCCCGCCCGTGTAACCAGAAAGAGTACCAAGCAGCATCCCTACTCTGTCCAACTTTCCTCCAATCGTACTGCTCAATTCGCCTCCACCTTTTTCCCCCGTACATCCCGTCTATGGAATGCCCTTCCCCCTCATGTCTTCCCTCCAACGTACGATCCGAAACTCTTCAAATCCAACACTATCCGCTCTCTCCCTTCAGGTAAAGAGCCATAGGTTTTTTAGTGGGTATTATGTACATGAGCCCCACACTCCGGTTGAATTTTCCACTCTTCTGGGTAGTGCGTCAATGCATTTTTTCCTATGGCTCTTTCACCTTTTCCTCCTAGCTTCCCCCAGTCCCCCTCCCCCTTTTCGCACTCGCAGTTCCTTTTGAG